GCCGCAGCGGGGGAGCGGGGCGGGCTTCGCGACCCTCTACGCTCCAAGTATTTAGGTTCTGCTGTTAGTGCGCCGTGCCGCCCTGCCCCCACTTTAGCTTGGGGGCTGCTTTCTTGCTTGATGCAAGCAGTGAGCTATAACAGGAGATGTGTGAGCGACTGCTTAGATTCGAGCACCGAACACTGTTCTCTCGATTAAAGTACATTTCATTTTCCATGCACTTGATTGCCTTGAGTGTGTTGCGCATGTGCCGAGAGTCAAATCGAGATATTGCAATGCACTCAAGAAAACACACAAGAAAAACGAAGCAAGAATGTATCTTGGGGGGTGTGGAGACGTTTGCATAGGGTGGGAAAAAACACGGCTTTGCCGGCAAGGCGAGTATTTTGAGCCTGATCCTGTGCAGATACCTTTACCACTGGATCTGTTAAAAAAATTCTCTTTGTTTTCCTCTTCTTTGAAGGTTCTGGGAAAAAAAAGATCCCTGCCTCTAAAGCTTTGCGTATTGAATATCCTGCCCCCCTCCCCCCTCCAGTACCCCGTGTATCGGAGCCGAATATAGGGTGTCCCCCGCCTCGCCCCCCGCGTCCACGACTGCACGCCTATGTGGCCATCAAAGCGGAGGGATATCGGATTATGTTGCCATCTGTGTGGAACGCGCCGTGTGCGGCCAGGCGGGACTGTCCGCGAGCGAGTTTGGACTCGCCCCGCCCCGCCCTGCCCCGCCCCACCCCGCCTTGCTCGGCGTTGGCCTGACATGGCCAGGGCCAGGTTGGTCAGCTCACAGTGTGTTAACTGTCCTGCGGCTGTGTTGCAGGCTGCCGTTTTCCCCCTTCTTTGTTGTTACCGGCCAGTTGCTTCCCAACTCTCTGCACGAGTGTGGTGTTGCGGTGTTTCATATGTCGCACATCGTTTTGCGCAGCTAGCTTAAGCCAAAATAGTTGCGGCGGTGGGGGCGCAGTTTGATTCGAGTTCTTCTGGTAAAACAGACAGAACACGGTTAGTTTTCCACCCAAACGCTCTGTCACTCTGAAAACCCATGTTTGTTCTTGAATTTTGAATGCGGTATCTCCTGCAGACCTACATGTGTGCCAAAGTGTAACATAGTGCGTCCACCCACATGGATTATTTTTATTTTACAGCGTCGCTCCTTCGTCACTTTCCGGCATCGCCCTCAGCTTATCGTGCTGCTGCTATGACATTTTTTTTGTCCTGTGCTGTGCACCGAGTTTTCTATTTTTCAAAGCTATCTAATTTTCCGTCGGCGTACCCTTACCTGCCTCCCGGCCGACCCAGCAGCAGCCGCAGCGCTGTTGGGGCCTTATGGCGGGGCGAGGCAAGGTTCGGGGACCGTTTTGGGCGGCGCTGGGGCCCGGCCCGCACACCGTCCCGTCAGGGCCCGGCGGCAGGCCCCAGCCGTAGCTGCAGAAATGCGCATTCCATCCCGGAGGCCTCTCCCCGGTGCCCCGGTTTTATAGGGGCTCACTGTTGCTTGCAAATTCCGCGCTCATAAAACAAGGAGAGGAACACGAGCACGCCCACCACGCCCCGCCGCGCCGTCGAGTCGCACGCACACGCATTGCGCAGAG